TTTTTTGCTATTTTGTGCTGAATATATCTGATATGAGATTTCCAGGAGAATTTGTCATCAACTATGACACCTAGAAATTTAATTTCATATACTCGTTCTATATTAGCTCCCCCGATTTTCACTTGCAGTTCGTTATCTAGTCTAATTCGTTGCTTCTACTGTACTGTTGGCCATGCTAATGTGGGGCCAAAGGATGACAATGTGTGTCCAACACATTGGTCCACAACAAGATATTTTCACAACTACTGCCTGAATTTGCTGATGATATTCACGGTCTGCAGTGGATGACACTTGGCAGGCCAAAATCTAAATAGACAGCTTGCTATTAAAATATATTGATGTTTCCCAGAGGAAGAACTCTTTGCTGATTCCGTCCAAACACACCAATCAGAGTTAAAGAAATGATCTCACCATCTTTTTCTTTGTCCATCCGGACCTTCTTCAATGCAACAATCTCATCTGACTTGGTATCACGGGCTCGGTCTGTGGTAAGAAAAGAAAATCATTTATTTAGTTTGCAGTTTCACTGATCTTTCTTAGTAGAACCAATCTATACTCTCCAACATGAACGACTTACAGACAATGCCGTAAGTTCCTTCTCCTATTCGATTGAGTTTCTCAAACTCTCTGACACTTCTGCAGCTCCCAAACTGAAAGAGATTGAAACGATGAGGAAATGGCACAGAGGTTCTCTCTGCTTGTCTCCTGAACGCCAACACATCCTGTTCTTCTCCAGCAGTAGTTCAGAAGACTTTACGTAATCACTGCATTGTGATTACAACATTACCTACAAGATAAAGCTAACAGAATAAATGTGAAGGTTGCAGTTTCTCTGGACCGCTCCATGTGACATATGCCTATTGATGTATTCCACATTACCCAGTTGAAATGAAATGCGGAACAACAAATCAATAAAGGGACCTAATGGCGATGCCCTCAGCCATGGGGGTATGGCTCCCAGGAGAAACTTAGAGCCCGCGTACACCAAGACAACCAGCCCTGTGAAACCAGCTGCCCCAGGGTGGTTGTCTGGTGTACGCAGGCTTTAAGGCACAACGCACAGTGAGGACTCGAGATGGAACCAGTAGATGACTTACTGTGTGGTGCTTTAACAGACTTATGTGTCAGAGGAAGCCCGTAATGGGATTCGCTGCTGCTGGAGACAAGTAACCTAAGTGAAGTGTACAGGTCTGAACTTTACCTCACTAAATACTCTAACACAATGTCCACACATTAGCACAGGTAGCTTATTACTTTACCGAAAGAACGCCACACTCCATTTATAAATCCGTAGTTTTAACACCTCGTTTATCACCAAACACCGATGGACACCACTCTAGCTGTTCTGAGTGGAGTGTGATCATCTTGAACGAAAGATGACTACACAGTGAAATTCTCCAATATATTTAATGTTCTATTTGTCAAATACATACCGAATTTCTGACTGGTCCATCTACACAGTGTTAACTTGTGTTCTATGGGCGCTGACGAGCAAAACATCATTAAATAACCAGAGTCCTGAACAGAGTTTGGTGCCCTGGTCTCCTCACACGGAGCTAATGTTCTTACCCTGTCATGTTGAGGCACTGTGAATGTTTTTTGGTTCTTAATGGACTTCAGCTTTATAGGATCCGGCTCGTCCTCTCCTACGGTGTCCATTTTTTCATATACTTTGGGTTTCTACCTAAAGGCAAGAGTATCGCGGGCTACGGCTCCAACTCGGACGGAAGCAGCAGCTCATTGCCCAGGGCGGCGCCATATTCTTCTGTTCCTGGCCACGGAAAGGACAAGCGAGCGCTTTCCCGGAGTTGATCAGGCAGGAACAGCCTCCGTTAAACACTGAACCTCTGCGGTTCTGCATCTGAATGGTTTTGCTAACATCCATCTCGAGTCTTCTTCTTCTTCAACTGTTTTTTAATGGCGGTTGGCAACCAGCTTGAGGTGCATTAAAATCCACCCCGAGTCCCTATTGGAAGACTGTAATAAAAGAAACATTATATATGTATTTTTAATTCTTTATTCTTTTCCTCTTTGATAAGACATTACTGCTAGCTAATATGTTGGTTAGGAAATTTCACATGTGTTCTGCTAATGTTAAAGTTCATTTGTTCAGAACATACTGTACACCGCTGTATACTGCCCCATTGTGGTGTAAATATAAGGTAGCTACTTTACAGAAACTTAAAGTTGCTTATAATGATGCCTTGAGGATTCTGCTTAAGAAGCCTAGGTCCACCAGCGCCAGTCTTTTGTGTTCACAGGTCCATGTACTAACATCAGGCATTAATGAGAAACCTGATGTACAGATTTATCTGTCGTGTGAATAACTCTGAGAACAGTCTTATAATGATGCTGGCTAATCCTGGTTTTAGTGTAGTACGTTACCAATCCTCTCTGTGGAAACATTGGTATAAATGTCTTTTATGATTTTTATTTATTTATTTATTTTCTTCTTTTATATCCTTTCTTTTTCTTTTATTTCTTTTTGTATGGACCTTGAGTCTGCTAATAAAGGATGATGATGATGATGACTGAATCACACACGTAGTGACACTAATTCTCTGATGCAATAACGTAGAAACCTGTGGCCCAGTTAGTGACATGGATGTAAGAGCAGTGGCCTACCTGACCGAATTGATTGCAAATGTTATCCATCTGTGATTGGTTGGAGCACTCAGGAAAGGAAACTTGGAGTAGCAGAGAGTGAGCTGTAACAACTTTTAGTCCCTGGCATGGTCGTAGATTTTACCTTGCTCCCAAAGCAATCTGTTCTGAATGTTTCCTGCTATAAATGTGCACTGCAGGTCCAAACCAAGATATGATGACATGCTGTGCAGTTTGAATGTCTGTTCTGATCTTACCTAAGTTTGTTTCTTGGTTTGTCTTGGATATTTTGAGTCATTGTCCTTTCAACATTCTGTTCCCCACTACAAACGGTGTAGAGGAAGGCCTCCTCTCATTCACAGCCTTGGCTAGGGTCATGGAAGATGGTGAGGCATAGATGTCTTCTCGTGATGGAGCTGTGATGAGGATGATAGGTAGACATGGAGAGGAGTCCCCTGAATCAGCTTCAGTGTTGGACTGTGGTCGTCGGGGGCTTTCTGAAACTGAGAGGAACAAAATGACTGAAGCATCACAAATACACACACGCACACACTGTCATCTACTCTAGTTCATCCCACCTCGTTTCAGATAGATAGATACATTGATTGATTGAGAAGGTAATTTTGGTGTTACAGTAGTAAACACATGGGAGTTCACAAAACTGCTGGTGTCGCTGGCTCTGATGCTGTTGCTCCAGCAGGTCACAGAGAGGAATACTGAACAGCTCAGGCAGATCTAAAAAAAGTTCTGGTCATCCTCTAAGAGGGTCCTGCCTGCACTGCTGGCTAGCCTGTGGGCTCCTGTCTCTGGTCTGGCCCTGAGGTCGCCCCCCTGAGCGTCCTCAGCTTCCTGCCTGGCTCTGGGGCTGTCCCCCACTACAGCTTCAGCTGCCTGCCTGATTCAGAAGTCATTCCTTTGGCTGTCATTGTTTCTGGCATTGGAGCCCTCCTCCAAACCCCCTCCGCCCACAGGTCGTACTGTGCCTTGTGTTTTGTTTTGGGGGCATGTGGAAGCCTGCTGTGCTGCTTTTTGTCTGTGACTCTCTCCCCCACATCTCCAGTCCTGTGTTCCCCAGTGTTCGGTTTCTGACTTTCTGTTGTCCCCAGTTAGTTCTTGCTGTGTGTTTCATTGTGGTTGTCGCTCCGTGGCAATGTCATTTTCAGTGTTCTGCAGTGTGAGGCTGTCAGTTTGAGCTTTGCTTTAGTTCTTTGTATTTTTGCTTTTCTGTATATTGAGCACTCATAGTTATTGTTTTATTAAGCCTGTCCTCTTGTGTTTTGTGTCTGCATCTGGGTCCTCACTTTGTTGAAACGTGACAAGCACCAGCATAATCAGATTTGCTCATGACACGACAGTCATTGTATTGATACCTGGAGGAGCTGAGACAGAAAAGAGGCGGTAGAGCTAGTGGCCTGGTGTAATGTGAATCATCTCTCCCTAAATGTAGACAAGACAAAGGAGATGATTACTGATCCTAGGAGGAGAAGGGAATGACACACACCACTGTACTCTGTATTGGTGAGACTGGGGTAGAAAGGGTGATGACCTTTCAATCCCTGGGCATTTACATCAGCGAAGATCTCACCTAGTCTCACTATACAGGATAGATTATCAAGAAATCTCAACAGAGACTGTACTTTTTGAGAAGGCTGAGGAAGTTTAGCATGTCAACCGAGCTCCTAAGTAGCTTCTACAAATCTATAGTCGAGAGTGTCCTGACAAATGCCATTAACAATGTGGTATGGTAACTGCACTGCACACAATAGGACGGCTCTCCAGCCTGTGATTAAAACAGCACAAAAGATCCCTGGAGCTGCCTTCCCATTGCTCCAGGGCATTGACAGTACCAGGGTCATTAAATGGACATATAATATCATGAGACAACACACCTGCAACATAGCCTTTTCCCTCTCCTGCCATCAGGCAGACACTACAGGAGCATCAGATCAAGAACAAGACCGTCAGGCCATTAGGCTGTTGACTGACCTTAAACATTGTCCACTTCCATCACACTGACTGTTTGCTAAATGTGAACTTGCAGAATATGCACAGATACATTTATATTATTTATACTGATCTCATTGTCTGTTTATGGTATTACTGGCAAAATAAGAGTTTCATTGTACAGTACTGTTTTAGTGTGCATATGTCAATAAAGATCTTGGATCTTTTCCTAAATCCTTAAATCCAATCTGTAGACGTCACAGGCTTACCAGTTAGCTGACTGCATATTTAATTGACTCTACTAGGCTATTTGAGGTCCTGTGTAGTTCATCCCTACCTGAATCTTCCGTCTGACTTGCTCCAGACCCCATGAGGCTTCAGTCAACTGTTGTACACATCATACATGTCCACACACATGATGCTATAGCACATATCGTTGCATGTAGGGGTCTGGACTATGTCCGAGGCTGCCACCTGTGCTCACCTCCCTCTGCCTGTCTGAGCCTGTCCCTCCCTGCCTCTGGGTGACACTAATCCTGTGCAGTGACGGCAGAAAGAGATCCTGGATTTAAAGAGCAAGCATAGACTTTTGTTTTGTTATTTAAAAAAAAACACACATTATACGTGGCTCTGGCTCACGAGGTAGGGCAGTCGTCTCCTGACCAGCAAGTTGGTGGTTCGACTCCCGGTCTCCCCACATGCCTAAGCATGCCTGTCCCTGAGCAAGACACTGAACCCCGAAATGCTTCCGGTGGCTTGACTAGCGCCGTTGCGTGGCAGCCTGTCGTCATCGGTGTGTGAATGGGTGAATGGTGTATGATCTCCTGTAAAGCACTTTGGCCAGTGCAACACACTGTGAGAAAAGCGCTATATAAAATATAGTCCATTTACAGTCCATGTATATGTTACAAACATATGGCAGCTAGGGGGTAATGATGTCAATTATCTGGACAGAAACATGAGCAACATGCCAGGGGATTTACAATTTCAGATGTTCCAGAAATATCACACCAGTATTGACTGACTAATGGTTGTTATCCTTTTTGGCAACATCCTGCTAAGGCGTATGTGTTGTTCATGCATTGCTCTCCTTGAGTTGGTTTGATGTGATTGGTGGAACCTTTGACGGACTGCTGTTTCCTGCCTCTACGGTAAACCGTACTCATTTCCTGTTTTCTGTACCTGCACTGTGTTGTGCTTGCGTCCAGATTATTTAAGAGTTAAACTATTTTCTAGGTTCATCTGAATTTTTGAGTGACAACATACGCTTGCGCCACTTAAGCACTTGTGTTGCAGAAGTTCTTGCTAACTACCAAATTTAATTTGCTACCTTAGGTCGGCTAGTTTAGAAGCTAGCTAAGCTAGTAGCTCAATTGGGAGCAATGGCTTCCCCATCTTCCTCTCCTCCTTTCTCTTGCTCGGAGTATCGCATGTTCAGTTGTTCCTCTGCATATCAAATGTTAATTAATCTTCTTTCCACAACCCCAGAAAATGTAAATGAATGTGTTGAATAGTTTTGTGTGTGTCGTTTGGCTTCCCTGTTCTTTTGGGATAATGTTAGTTAATTTTGAACTTGCTCAGTCTTTGTACTGTTCAGTATTTGTATTAGACTTTGTAATTGCTTGTCTGTTTGGTTTGACTTAGAGTTATTACTCTGCCTCCTTGAGCGATAATGGTACTTGTAATAAATGTCAGATGCCAGCAGCATTGGAGGCGAGGCTCACAGACTTAGAAGCGCGGCTCCACACCATGGAGAACAGGCCAGCTAGCTATGCCCATGTAGCCGGTGTGGAGCCTCCTAGACGTAGCTTAGCCCAAGCTAGCCACCCCCCACAGCTTCCCGAGCAGCCGGGATCTCAGACAGGTGGCTGGGTGACAGTTCGCAAGAGTCGTAGCTCCAAACGAATGTTCACGGAGCATCACCTGCCTGTTAGCGTTTCAAATCGATTTTCCCCACTCAGCGACACACCTGCTGAGAAAACAACTCTGGTAATCGGAGACTCCATAGTCAGAAACGTG